TTTTTTTTTTTTTTTTTTTTTTTTTTTTTTTTTTTTACGGGAAAAAATGAATTAGATATTTAAATATTGGAATGCAGAAGAAAACACACAGAGAGCGTGGAGCCCACGACAATGGTAGCCCCCACATTCCACGCGGTCGTTGACTCAGTCCAAGTTGAAGTGGACCAGAGTTGTTGACTTTGACCACTCTACTTTGGGCTTATGGGTTGGGCCTCGGAACAAAACAAAACAAAACACTGCTTCATCCAAAATAAAAATAATAAAAATAATAAAAAAGAGTTTTTATTTAATGTAATAATCATAAGTTTTAAGAATGGTAATAGGTAATTAACTATAATACGTTTTTATTTCCAGTTTATTAATTATTCGAGGAAACGTAACAAAAAAATATATATATTGGTTAGAGGTTTATATTTTAGACGGTGCTTTGAGGCTTTCCTTTCTGTATTATTTGTATGTTTTTATAATCGTATGTACTGGAAATCACTAATATACACCTCTAGTCAATATTTTTCTTATATTTTTTCTCTAGTTCTTCGTGTTTTTTTATCTAGATCAAATGTATGAGTTGTGAAGTCTTAATATTGGATGATGAAAGTTCCACATCTGCTAATTTAGGGAATGATCATGGGTTTATAATAAAATAATACTATCTCTATTAATTTGATGCTTTTTGGGGAAGTCCAAAGCAAAGCCACGAGAGCTTATGCTCAAAGTGGACAATATCATACCATTGAGGAGAGTCATGTTCATCTAACATGGTAATAGAGTCATGCCCTAAACTTAGTCATGTCAATAGATTGGTAAATCCTCAAATGTCGAACAAAGAACTCCAAAAGAAAAGAAGTCGAGCCTCCTCGAAGGCATAGTCAAAAATGACTAAGACTCCAAAAGAAAAAGAAGTCGAGTCTCGATTAAGGGGAGGCGTATTTTGTTCGAGCGGTGGAGTTTTATTTAAGTCAAGCAATGATTAAGGGGAGGCGTACTTTATTCGAGGGGTGGAGTTTTATTTAAGTTAGGCAATTTATCTCTTCATGTTCTATGACAAGGTTTGTCATTCTCCTTAGCTCGTATCTCATCTCTTGCGCTAAAACAGTTGACTATGTCATGATCTCCTATTGAGGCTAAATATCGAGCTTTAGCCAACACATTTTGTATGCATATTGGTTGCACGAGCTATAATGTAACCGTTCATGTTTTTCTTCGCATCAAATTTTGCTAACACGACGTGTCAACAAATGATTGGAGTTTCTATATAGAGAGTAAAGTCTCTGAAGTAGGAACATTACATTAATATTTGATGTGATAAGTTTGTAATTGATTTCTTAAATCAACATTTCTAGGTTTGTCGTTTTGTTTCCTTATATGCTTTGAGAGATGTTGACTTTTTATCTTTCTTCACAACAAAGCAATTCTAAAGGGACATTAATCTATGTTTTACGCCTCTAATTACACACACTTTCCACGCTCGAAATTATTCTAAGTTTTCCCCATAACGATTAGGACGACCATGATCTTGTATTTGGATACATAGAGAGTAAAGTTGTATTAGATTCCGTGTTATGAAACTCTCGGGAATTCGATCTTATACCCTTGTTCAAAAACAAAACTTTTATATCTAAATTTTTTTTAAAAAAAAATCTAAAAAACCATAAGGAATTAACGAACGGAAAGTTTTGGAATGAATTACTTTGATGATCATGATCAACGGTAAATAAAACTCACTTCTAAAACTTGTGGTTCAAATCAGTCCATAAAATACACCCACCCAGACTACTTGAATGACTATAGCATGCAAATATGAACACTTTAATTGTCGTCACGTCTCTAAGAGAGACATAAATGCGAGATACATAGATGCATAGAATCTATGTCACTGAGCATACCAATAATAGACTTAAAAGCACAACAATAATATAAATCAATTATAATATAAAAGTGTAAAACAATTATAATAGTAAAAACGCCCATCACCAAATATTACATCATTATACAATAGATGAAAATTTACATGTTTATGATCAGAACCATCAAAATTACTCAATTTATCCGTCTTTTCTTCCCGGCGATCATCTTTTCATACGTTATATTTCTCTCAATCTTAAAAGATACGATACTTCTTCCGATTTATTTTAAGCACTTAAATAAACGTTCCAAATCTAGTTTACCATGTATTGACTTAGAAACATAACCGAGAATAATCAAGTCTCGCAGCCTTAACCCAAAGGAGAAGACATGAATATTCTTGGAAATAGATGGAAGGGAAAGCATAATCCTACAACCCAAAGTTTGAAAGGGCAAAAGTATATGCTTGATTTGCAGCCAAAGCAAAAGAGAATAAACAAAAACCTCAAAACTTGCCTATAAAACCTGGTTTTGAGCTTCCCTTACCTTTTCAAACTTCTTGGTTTGCTTCCTTTTTGCATATCAAATGGCTCACAACAACAATTTTGGGCATTTTGCACTGAAATTGATTGGATTATTGCTATTGGTTCAAAGGGTTCATGGAGTTGAGTTTCAAGTGGGTGGATCAAAGGGTTTGTGGGGAGTTCCTAATGCTCACAGCTTTAACCAATGGGCTGAATCACAAAGATTCCAAATTGGAGACTCCTTAGGTAATTAATGTCTTGTTTTTGTTTGGTTTAGACCATTTTTATAAACTATGTGTTATGGTGCAGTGTTCAATTACCAAGGTGGCCAAGATTCAGTGCTATTAGTGAACCAAGATGACTACAACAATTGCCACACGGAGTCACCCATTAAGCACTTCTCTGATGGCCACACCGTTATCAAGTTTGAAAAATCTGGCCCTCATTACTTCATAAGTGGTATCAAGGACAATTGCCTTAAGAATGAGAAGTTGGTGGCTATTGTGTTGGCTGATAGAACCAAGCAATACTCTTCTCCACCCCCGGCTCCCGACGCCGGTGAAGGCTCTTCTAAGCCTCCTGAAGCGTCGGTCGAGATGAACCCGACCCCGTCTCCGATCTCTGAGGAACCACCAGCTAATGGTGCGACGTCTTCTACTTCGCCTATTGTCACCTTCTTGGGGTTGATTGGAGTGTTTGCTACTTCAATGGCTCTTGTTTTGTGATTTTATGTTGTAATTTGATGGTGGGGTTTTATTTTATGATCGGTTTGCATTATTATTTATGTGCGGTGGATTATTTGTTCTGGTTCATCTTTTAGTAATAACCTAAAGGGACTATATTATATGGACAATGTTGGGTACCTTATCTTCGTAGCACTATTAATATGACCCACTTTAATTTGTAATTATTACAAATAATTTAACCTAAATGCTTCATGTAGAGATACGAGAGTGAGGATATCCACAGTGAATTTGTATGCGGTAATCTCTCCCCATCAATTTGTTATTTGAAAATATTAATATTTGAGATGATTATATGTAACTTAATCTTAATGGTGAGTGAATTATGAGCCCTCGCTGATAAGGGTTAAAATGACTTTTGAGCTGATTCAATATGTCTACCATCTTGGAGACTTTACTAAATAGAGAATTGAAAACATAATTTTACATGGAATTCACTACTCCCTCCTATAAAATAAGTAGATGAGTAATTTTTAAGTACGGATTTCGAGACTTAAACAATGGGGTCGCACCTTTCAGTGGTCAAAAGGAACTGGTTTATAGTTGGATTATAAACAGATTTTTGATTCATTAGAGAATCGCCTGTATTTAAGGTAGAATAAAACAGATTTTTGATCCAATTGTAATTACAAACCATTCAAGAACCAAAATTGAGTTGTTTATTATCATTATATCAATTGACATAACTTATTGCAACGACCCATTTCTCGATAGGCTTGAGCCACAAATCATCACGAACTGATATGTAATATTTAAAAATACGTAATAATTTAGAACTTTTTATAAAAAGTGCACACATTTAATTTAAATTGAATAAATACAACAAAACATTTAAAGTACTACCTAATACAGTTTACAAAATAATTGAGAAATACAAAGTAATGGGTTAAGATAAATCATAAAATCTGGGAAACAAAGACATCAATCTATCTCGACCCCTAAAATCCTGGAGCTCGTGCACGATCTCGCCTCAATTGCTCTGTTTAAGTCTCATCTGAAAAATAAAAATAATATAAATATGTGAGATCTGAGGGAACAAACTATTTCTTATAAGGGTATAAAAATCTCTAAGAGAATTGCTGTTTATTAATTAAATATATAAAAACATCTAGATTTTGAACAAGAAAGCCCGTCTAGCTCAGTTGGTAGAGCGCAAGGCTCTTAACCTTGTGGTCGTGGGTTCGAACCCCACGGTGGGCGTCATGATGAAAAGTTTTTATTTTGATATTTTCTTAAGTAATTTAAATGACATAATTGAGAATTAAAAATATTGAAAATTATAGCTCAAAATGAGATAAATAATTAAGTTGTGTTCTTTGTATATGATTTTTTAAATTTCAATTTATACTTTATATTATAATCTCAAATATAGAGATCATAATTTATTTTCAATTCATGGTTAATGGGATGAAATTAAAATTAAAATTAAAATGTTAAATTTCAAATAAAATAAGATTTCAGAATTTTCTCAATAGTTATAACGGAAATAAATAAATATTTTCTTATTATTCATTAAATATAAAAAAACAACTATATAAAACATTAAAATATAAATATGTAGATGGAATATAAAAATATAGATATGCACATCTATATGGAAGAATTTTTTGAGCATTAGGTATTAATTAATTAACTAATAAGAAGATAAATTTGTTACAAGAAAAAGGAACGTTTCGGCGCGACTACAAGAAAAATCAAGTGTGAGAAGTAATGAGCTGAAATGCTGAAACCAGGCACGAGAAGTTTGCTTTAAGTCATAGATGGCTTTTTTTAATAGATAGGCATGAGTGAGAAATCGAGGATCAATATAACTAGGAGATTGTTCCATATGAACATGTTGAATAAGAGTGTTATTGATGAAAGTATTCTTGACATCAAGTTGCCGAAGAGGCCATTTATTTGTGACAGTAAGAGAAAGCACAACACGAATAGTAGTAGATTTGATAACCGAACTGAAAGTATTAGTGTAGTCGAAACCAAGAACCTGAGTATAACTTTTGGCAACAAGATGAGTCTTGAAACATTCAATAGATCTATCAGCCAAATATTTAATTCGAAACACCAATTTAAAGCCCACAATGTTGGTGCTGGCAGGGCGATGTGTCATCTTATTGTAAAGCTCTAATTTCCTCATCCATGGTAGCAAACCAAGTAGGATTCTTAGCAGTAGATTTGAATCTTTTTGGATTAGTGGATGCAAAAAGAGTATAAAGAAGTCCAGATGAGTCCAAAACACCAAGATTTGTTGGATGGCGAGTCTTGAAGATGCTAGCTTTGGCTCATGTGATCATAGGAGGAGAGCCCAAAGAATAGAAATTAGCAATAGGTTCAATAGAGAGCAGATCAATAGTCGAGGGTGGTAAAGAAGAACCTGCAAGAGAAGTATTAATTTGCACAGATTCATCCACAATGTTAGAACAAATATCACACGGAGAAGAGATAGATCGAAGAATGTGCGGTGAAATATGAAGAGAGGAAAGAGGGGTGTCAAATTGAGCGTAGTTATAATATATAATAATTAAACATATAATTTTAACATCAAAGCCCGTCTAGCTCAGTTGGTAGAGCACAAGGCTCTTAACCTTGTGGTCGTGGGTTCGAGCCCCACGGTGGGCGTTTTTGGTAAAATTTCAGCAGTATATTTTGATAAAATTATCAGAGTATGTTCTTTTTATATCAATATAAAAGGAATATTAAATAAACTAAAGTGAATATTAAATATAATCACGCCATATACTAACCTAAAGTCTAAGTCCTTCATCAATTGGTGCGCACTCGACTCCATCCAAGCTAGTCCCCCCAACAAACGCTTCTATACACTCTAGCTATTTGATTTCCATGCATTTGGCTTGTGTGAGGCTTCGTCAAATTCTTTCAACTCACTTGTGGCTAATTTTTTTGACAATTTACTCGTTTTCGACCCTTCTTGAAGCATTTTTAGCTTAAATAGAGTAAAAAAAAGTCTGGTTTGATTATCGTTTTAACCTAATGTACTTACTGTCGGAATGTCTACCAGCTAGGTTGGATGAAATTGTTTGATGCATGAATAACATATATTTTATGATCCTATTTACGTGTTAATATGACAGTCAAATGAATTATATGAATCATGCATGTCCTTTTATGTTTGATTATGACTACTACGTTGAAATAACCATGTTTGCACTTTGTAAGATACGATGATGTACCACATATGATAAGCATGAATAAAATATGATAAATACATATGTATGTCTTCTACGAAATTTTAGTCATGATAATTATGGAAGTATTATATGCATTATCTCATTGTATCATAATTTTTAATAGGGGAATAGTTCTTCAACATGTTATGTACAGCCACGCTCACCACGATATCATTTGTGTTCCTTTCCTTTCCTTTCCTTTCCATTAGTTTTCGGCAGCGTAAGTATGTTAGTCCATAGTTAGGTTTAGGAGATATGTTTATGAGCCTACTTAGTGGGTTCAGATGTACGTGGGGTGGACTGAACTATGGGTAGAAAAATATTATGCATCTAACCCTAACAAACAAACAAACAAAAAATAAATAAAAAATACCCATTTTGGCGTTTTTCAGCGAGGTTACATGTTGATGTAAATGCATTTTCCTACTTTAATCGTAGGGTCACTTACTCAGAATTATTAAATAGTCATCGTTTTCATCAACTTTTTTAGACAAAGGCAAGAGACTGATGAATGGTCGATAATTTTTTCGTCAAAGAGGCCATAGAATGAAGATTTTTTTGAGAAATATATGCATTATTATCGGACAATTTGTTACTTTTATTTCATGTTTTCTCAATGAATGGTCTAAGTGGGACATTTTCTTAAAAGTTTGAATCAATTTGAAAGGTTATATAATAATCTTTTATTTTGTAATGGCTTGAAATTTTCTACTTAATTATAGATCGCGACCGTATACATATCATGAATATTGAAGGTAGAAATACTTCATTTAAACTTTCATAAAACGTCATCTTAATTTTCAAACACAATCATGGACTTACGTGTTTCGAATACACTTTTAAAAACGATACAACAAAAGACTAAATAAAATAAATGAACGTTTAAATTAAAAACATCATATTCTAGCCTAAGTTGAAGAAAATAAATACGACTACCCTATGATGTGTCATAGTCTCGAGTTGCGATGCTGTCTTTAGCTGTACAAGAATGTCTTGTCTTAACCTGAAATAGAGGTAGCACGTGGATGGAGTATTTTAAGAAATACTCAGTAAGTAACCCCATTATCGGGGTTAAATGCAAGAACATGCGAATGCAATGACGTGACCTATCATATCATTCTCTTTTCCTAAGACACTATCTTAATGGGCAACTTGGATGTACCATATACTCTACACACAGCCCATAGTGCGAGTATGAGCTCACCAGACAGTTCGCACACCTCTAGGCCCCTTTTCTTGTCGGGCGAGCCTACTCTAGTAGCTCCTCGTACTGGACACCCATTAGAATTAGTAACCATCACGGCAGCATTGTGTAAAATACATAACTAATTGATTATTAAATAAATTTTAAGGAATAAATAAATTTCAACCTAAAAAATACGGGAAAGAATTTTCTCCTTTGAAACTCGTACTTATAGAAAAAGGAAAGGATGTGACAACTTAATGTCCAACTTTTTTCAATTTTGTCGTCCGAGCAATAAACGAATAGAAGAGGATTGTGAATATCTGAATAGGACGAATCTTCCCGTGGTTAACTTCCATTCTTTTACTGATCTGTAGCTTGTTCACTAGCCTTGTTTAGTCGGTTCGACTCAAACCAGCATGAAATTTTAAAATAAATAAAAAACTTTATGAACTAAGTTGGTTCACGAGCTATTCTAAAACTAGTTTGGATTGAATAAATCAATCCGAATTTATTGTTAATTTTAAAATATGCATTTTGTTTTGTAAACTAACATTTATTTTTATAAAAAAAAATGAATAAATAACTATTGTGGTGGATTGAATTTTTTTTTTTTTTTCTCCAAAGTTATATTTTGATTATGGATTAAACGTACACGAAAGTTTTTAAACAATTTCAATTTCAAAAGCTAAAGAAAGAAAAAAAAAACAGTTGATATAATTTGATTTGATTTTGTGTATCACCCAATTCCATAAAGAAAAAAATGCTGCATTTTGAAATGGATCAAAGCCGCCACCCACCTTAATTTTTTAGAATATCCTTTGAAAATTTTCATTTGAATTCTTATTGTATTAAAAAAATCTTCACTACCAATCCCAAAACTGTACAGATTCATTGAAACGATCACCAAATACGCTCTGCTGCATCGGTGCCTTCCTTTTTAGACTTCCCCTTAGCTTACTTTTTACGATATTGCATCGTTTTTTGAACTCTTCATCTTCCTTCTCCCACCTACCCACCTCCTACCATCAATTTTCTTTCATTATTTTAATTTTCAGGAGTCTTGAGCGATTAGAGTTCTTATTTTCCGATCATGATCTCTTCTTTCACTCAATCTGCAAAACCCATTCATGGGTCTCACGTCGTTCACCGCCGGAGCTCTCCGGAGCCAATACGGCCGTTCTCTTGCCCACCTCCATTGCCGGCGCTAAAGCCCCAAGGCTTCGTTCTCTGTATGAAGAATGCCCTTCATATCTCTTCGGTTTCTAATTTCGGGCCATTGAGAACCCGGAAGAGTGATTTGGTTACGAGCAAAGCCTACGAGGCTGACCGATCGCACCCGATTGAGTCGAACGTTGAACTGACGGTAGCCGAAGCGCGAACAGAGGCGGCGAAGAAGGTGAAGATCGGACTCTATTTCGCTCTCTGGTGGGGTTTGAATGTCGTGTTCAACATTTACAACAAGAAGGTTCTGAATGCGTTTCCATATCCATGGCTAACCTCCACGCTTTCCCTCGCTGTTGGCTCTCTCATCATGCTTGTCTCTTGGATGACAAGGATCGCCGAGGCACCCACCACCGATTTTGAGTTCTGGAAATCTTTGTTCCCTGTAAGTTCTGTTCTTCTGGGTTGTGTTTGGAAGTTTTTGTTGGACTCCTCTGATCATCATGTTGTTCTTGAATTTGATGAATACCCATTGTTTGTTGGGATTTGAGAAAGCTTAGGAAGTTTCTGTGATCATCATGTTGTTCTTGTATTTGATTGTTGTTTTGGAATGTTGTGTGTTCATGTTGATGATTTTGAATAGGTAGCTGTGGCCCATACGATTGGGCATGTAGCGGCCACAGTGAGCATGTCAAAGGTTGCTGTCTCATTCACTCATATCATCAAGAGTGGTGAGCCTGCATTTAGTGTATTGGTTTCAAGGTTCCTGTTGGGTGAGACTTTCCCTGTTCCTGTCTACCTCTCTCTTCTACCGATCATCGGCGGTTGCGCGCTTGCTGCCGTGACCGAGCTTAACTTCAACATGACTGGTAATTCAACTCTTACTTTTGTTCGATCACTATCACTACACTTCCATGTTGCACCACACTCTACACTAGTATGATATTGTCCACTTTGAGCCTAAGCTCTCATTGCTTCGAGCTTCCCCAAAAGGCCTTGTTCCAATGGAGATGTATTCCTTGCTCATAAACCCATGATCATTCCCTAAATTAGCCAATGTGAGACTCCCTCCCAACAATCCTCAACCGTGTCTACTGTTGAGAAGTGTTGCGAGAGGAGTCTCACATCGACTAATCATGGGTTCATAAGTAAGGAATACATTGGAACGAGGCCTTTTGGGAAAACCAAAAGCAAAGCCATGAGAGCTTATGCTCAAAGGAGTGTCGTGATTTCTGACATCTGCTAGTAATCTTGCATAACGTTTTGTGAACTTCTGCACTAAATCACATGTATTTAGTTCGATTTATAAGTGGATACCGGAGATTGTTGTTACTTTTGAGAGAATTGGTTCGTTTATCATGTTCCCAAGATGTTCTTAACATTCTTGTTCCATATGATTGTTGAGAGAGCTGTTGAATGTGTTGATTCTTCAGGTTTCATGGGAGCTATGATATCAAACTTGGCATTTGTGTTCAGAAACATATTTTCCAAGAAAGGCATGAAGGGGAAGGCTGTTAGCGGGATGAACTACTACGCCTGTTTGTCTATTCTGTCCCTTTTGATTCTTACCCCATTTGCTATTGCTGTCGAAGGACCGCAGATGTGGGCTGCAGGATGGAAAACTGCTGTCTCTCAGAATGGACCTAACTTTGTTTGGTAAGCAGATTTTACTCTTAATTTTCTCCTATTTAACAGAGTTATCCTATGAACGTTGATCTATGGGCGTCGACAAACCTTACAAATCACAGGGTTGGTTAGAAACGGGAACGAAGCATTCCTTATAAGGGTGTGGAAACCTCTCCCTAGCAGACACGTTTTTAAAACCATGAGGCTGACGGCAATATGTAATGGGCCAAAGCGGACAATATCTGCTAGCGGTGGGCTTGAGTTGTTACAAATAGTATCAGAGCCAAACACTGGGCGGTGTGCGAACGAGGACGCTAGACCTCCAGAGGGGGTGGATTGTGAGATCCCACGTCGGTTGGAGAGGAGAACGAAGCATTCCTTACAAGGGTGTGGAAACCTGTCCCTAGCAAATGCGTTTTAAAACCGTGATGTTGACGACGATATGTAACAAGCCAAATCGGACGATATTCGCTAATGGTGGCCTTGAGCTGTTACAAATGGTATCAGAGCCAGACACTGGGCGGTGTACTAGCTAGGACGTCGGGCAACCAAGGGGGTGGATTGTGAGATCCCACATTGGTTGGAGAGAGGAACGAAACATTCCTTATATAAGGGTGTGGAAACCTTTCCATAATAGACGCGTTTTAAAACCATGAGGCTAACGGCCATATATAATCGGTCAAAGCAGACAATATCTCGGACAATATCTGTTAGTGCTTAGTTTGAGCCGTTAGTCTTGGTAACTTGACTTCTGCATTTCATTTTCTGCTAAAATATGTGTTCAGTGGGATGTCTTAGATCCCGTTAAAACTATGCACCTGCTATCTCGATAACTCGAATGTTAACACAGAGTCCAACCGTCATCAATCCTGTGTGTAGTTTGCTGTTGTGAGCCTTGAAGAGCTCAAATCTTCATGGTTTCGTATGAACATATCTCACTTTGGTTTTGAAAGTGTACTGTTTTTGTGTTAATTGGTAGGTGGGTAGCAGCTCAAAGTGTGTTCTATCATCTCTATAACCAAGTATCCTACATGTCTCTGGACGAAATTTCTCCCTTGACATTCAGCATTGGTAACACCATGAAACGTATATCGGTCATAGTTTCTGCAATCATCATCTTCCGCACACCCGTCCAACCCGTCAACGCTCTCGGAGCTGCGATCGCTGTTCTCGGGACCTTCTTATATTCACAGGTAACTGACCTCGTTCATCACTCGGTTATCTGCTTGCCTTACGCCTTCAATCTCACTAAATCTTATCAATGCAGGCAAAACAATGAGAAGAAGACTCTTAGAACTTAAGTAATTATATCAAAGAGAGATCGGAGCAAAGCATTCGAGAAGTGTCGGGATTTTCGATATGGCAGTGAGGAAATTGATTCGAGTTTATCAGTTTTTGATGTTGTGTTTAATCATGGAGAGATGAACAAGTAGTGATTTTCTGTGCATCAAGAAGGTCATACATGAATAAAGTGAGTAGGGAAGGTAAATTGTGTAATTCTTAACTAAAAGTTGCCTTAATATGAAATTAACACAAAAAATATAAAAAATTAAAATTAATAAAGATTAGCAAATAATAAAAAATTTACATTAAACAAATTTTGTTTTCGAAAATTCACGATTCATGATTTTTCTTTGAGCTCTATTACGATTACGGTTATAGTAGCTAAAATAACCTTTGTCGGTTTTAATTTGGTCAAAAAGAACTTTTTAAACGATTGGAATAGACAAGGATGACATCTATGAATATGATAACAAATGTGTTTAGACACTCTTTGAACGCCTTGTTCATTGAACTTATAAATATCGGAGGTGCATTCGTTTGACCAAAAGACATATCAATGAATTCATAATGGTCATACCTTGATATGAACACCAGATGTTCTTCTCCCTTCTTTTTTATCTGATGGTAGCTCAATTATTAATCAATTTTGGAGAACGTTGTTGCCTCCCGTAGCTAGTTGAACAAATCTTCTATACGAGGGAGGGGATATTTGTTCTTCGCTATCACTTTTTTAACTCTTGGTAAGGATATTTGTTCTTCGCTATCACTTTTTTAACTCTTGGTAAGGATATTTGTTCTTCGCTATCACTTTTTTAACTCTTGGTAAGGATATTTGTTCTTCGCTATCACTTTTTTAACTCTTGGTAAGGATATTTGTTCTTCGCTATCACTTTTTTAACTCTTGGTAAGGATATTTGTTCTTCGCTATCACTTTTTTAACTCTTGGTAAGGATATTTGTTCTTCGCTATCACTTTTTTAACTCTTGGTAAGGATATTTGTTCTTCGCTATCACTTTTTTAACTCTTGGTAAGGATATTTGTTCTTCGCTATCACTTTTTTAACTCTTGGTAAGGATATTTGTTCTTCGCTATCACTTTTTTAACTCTTGGTAAGGATATTTGTTCTTCGCTATCACTTTTTTAACTCTTGGTAAGGATATTTGTTCTTCGCTATCACTTTTTTAACTCTTGGTAAGGATATTTGTTCTTCGCTATCACTTTTTTAACTCTTGGTAAGGATATTTGTTCTTCGCTATCACTTTTTTAACTCTTGGTAAGGATATTTGTTCTTCGCTATCACTTTTTTAACTCTTGGTAAGGATATTTGTTCTTCGCTATCACTTTTTTAACTCTTGGTAATCAATATGCAATTACATCGCCAAGATGAAGACTTTGTCTAACCGATCCTGTAACTATACTTTCAATTCCTTCAATTTTTCTCGTGCATCCCAAAGTGCCCAAGAATAGATATATTACCTATCACCACTACATTAAGGTTGTGCGTGTCCTGGCTAATAGAGGCATAAGCTTTCTCCTCTTTGTGAGTTGGTATAGATGATATGAATCAAGAGACATCAATCATACAATATACTTCAATGAAGATGTAAAGAAAATGCGGTTGAAATTATCAAACAACATCCTTGCCACCATCATCATCACACACCAACTTGTCACGCTTTGTTGGCTGGACTCTTAATCCCATGCCCCTTATTCCTACGTGACCTACCTAACTACAGTTGTGGGAGTGCAGACGGTCGAGAACTCAACGTGATCTAGTCCAACCTCCACTTCTGTCCCAATGCATTAGTTAATGTTGTTGGTAACTGAAGTCTTCCAGCTAAATCCTCTCCCATCTGCTTTCATGGTTGCAATGTAATCTACAGGAGGCAAGATCACAACAATACCTCAGATAACCTTAAAAAGATACATATAAAATGCTCCTAAGAAATCGAGGAGGGAGGTGATGTATGAGATATATATAAAATATTATTTAAAAAAATTGGGCAATCACCGGTAGAAGTATACATAGCCCGGGTTGGGTCGGGTTGAAGGATTTTTTTTAACCCAACCCAAAAGTTTGGGTTGGTTGGGTTAGTACCCAACCCGAAACTTTTCACCACCCAACCCAACACAACGCAACCCTTTATTTTTAGGTTGGGTTGTCAATTTTTTTTAAAAGTTTTATTTATCTCTAATTTATAATTATTCTGATATAATCTTAGATAAAATATATTAAAAGTTCACAATCAAACATAAATCAATCTATAATTATTGACGAAAAAAAAAATTGTAACATATTAACCTAATTCAACATTGTCATAAAATTAAAATAATTCAATACTGACATTTTTTTTAAGAATTGGTTAAACTAATAAAAATATAAGGATAGATCGTGAAATTAAATAAACAATAAAAATGATTAGTCTAAGAGTATTATATATAATAAAAATAAAAATATATAAAAATATTAATTGAAATATGCTTATGCTACTCTAAATTATTAAAAAATTAAAAAAATATATAAATTATGATATAATAATGTTAGGATGATAAATATATTATAATTTAGAATATGTTTTAAAATTATATACATAACTTTAAATTATTAGAAAAATAAAAAATAATATTAATATTATATGTTAGTTTATTATAAAGTGTTTTAAAAATAATATAAAATATTAAAGTATTTTTAAAATATAAAACAAATAATATAAAATATTAAAATATTTTTAAAATATTATATTTGGCAGATGTCCAATTGGAGCGTGAGTGTCCTTAGTATCAATCTGTCAAACCAATTAACACAAAAGGATTCTTAATATATTCTATATATTTTTATTTAGATCGGGTCAACTCGAAAATTTTATTCATGAACTTGAAATCGAAACCGATTGTTCAGAAAAAATGAATCCAACCCTACGCGAAATGCTAATCCAACTCAACCCAACTCTTATAGTTGGGGTTGGGTTGGTCAGGATTGTGGGGTTGCCGGATTGAATGTACACCCCTAATTACCCGTCTAAAAATAATATATTTTTTAAAAGGTTTTATCTTTTTCTTTTTTCTTTTTTTAAAAAAATTATTTATTTATTTTATTTGATCAATTAGCAGCAGGAAAAATAATCCCAAAAGTATAAAAGTGGGGTGAGGGCTCAACCCTCCGCCTCCGTCGAGTGGTCGCCGCCAGTCAAAACTCGTTTTTTCTCAGAGTCGGTCCGTGAAGAAACACCGTCGTTAGGCTACGTGTATTCACTGGCGCACCATACCTAAACCACCTCTTCTCTCCCTCGCGGTCTTGTCTCGTCTTCCTTCTCTCCACCTAGGTTAGTATTTATACTCCGCTTCCTTATCTTCATCATTATTCTAATAATTCTTAGGTTTGAATCGATGTTCGATTTCTGGTGAAGCTTTATCGATTGGACTCATGTTTTTAATTCTTAGGTTTTGGTTGTAATTTCAAAATTCTAGAGGTTCCATGGCCTCTTCTGTAGCTGAGAACCGTCAGGAGAAGTTGGCATCCATGCTTGACCAGCTCTATTTAGAATGTGGCATTCTACATAAAATGATTTATAAGAACAAGAATCAGCATCGCCGGAGTTCCTATTTTCAATATCTTTTGCAGGTTTTCATCTCCCTCCCTCTAAGAAAATTGTGGTTGATTGATTAGTTACTGAGAAAAGAAAACTAAATTGCGAGAAAAGAAGTGCATGGAATTTTTCTTGGAGGAGGAGAATATTGCTTTTATACGTATATGTTAGTCTGTGTAAATATATGTCCATACAAGTAATAGGTGGGAAACATTTTCATATTGATGACACCAGTTGAAAGGAAAGGGGACATTGTGACACAAAACCAAGAGTCATAGGAAGTATGTAGTTAAGTTGGTGAAATCATTCACGCAGTGTTAGATGAAGAATTTGCGATTTTTGGCATACATTGTAACTTTTCTTGCGTCTATAAAAAATGTTAGGTAAGGAGAGATTTAAGACTTCTACAAGCTGCCAAGTTAGAGGAGTTGGTAAATTCCTGCTTTCAAGTTATCGATGGAAAGAAACCTAAGCAAAAGATTCATTTTTTAGAAAGGTATGTGATTTTGAGTTCCTTCTCCTCATGAATTTTTTTTTCTATTTAGCATATAGTAAAGAGATGACTAGATTATAAATGTATGTCTTCGTTTTCCTTTGATCTTCTGTTTTGACTTTCTATTTTGTTACAGTTTGAAACGGAGGAAATGTGAAGTTGGGAAATATAATTTCATGGAACAGCTTCTGGGGGCTGCACGCCTACTATCAGAGGTGATTTTTCTATTGAATTTGTCTCTTTGCATGACTAATTGGGAGTCTTTATATAGAATGTTCATTCTCTTTCTATATGTTTATGCTTATGATTGAAAAAGATCATGGTGTATTCCTATACCAAAAAAAAAAAAAAAAAAAAGAAGGAGATTATGATATAGTATATTATCTAAATCTATTTTGCTTGATGTAAGCTGTTCCATTTTCACTAAAAAATATTTTCAAGTAGTTGGGCTTTGTTTTGAATGATAGGTCAATCAAGGGTTATTCTTTGTTATTGAACTCAAGGGGCAATGATTCTACTGTTATGGAAATTATAAAATGATGTTCACTTTACGTCGTAGATTACCCCTTTGGACATTGTATTGATGGGATCTTTTTCCAAACCTTTTGCAGATGGTGGAGCCAATTTTTAAGGCAGCAACGTATCCTTTTTATCTATTGGTCTAATGCATTACAGATAAGTTGGTGTTGCTTGCTGCTTTCTGTTTGCTCAAATTCATTTTAGTATCCATGAGAATCTTTATAGTGGTGTAAGTTGGATTTTTTAATGGCTATTCAATTAGTCTTCCTGTATGTCCAACAGTGGAAGTGGAAAACATGCCCTGTATTGCACAGCGTTTTGTATGAAAGCTGGCTGGCTTATTTACTTGGTTAACTTGATCATTTGACTACTTGACAGGCATATATGATATGTAACTTCATGTTTTCCTTAATATAAAACCTGAAGCTGTTAGATCGTATTACATTACATCAATTATGTACAGCAACTCACCTCAGCATCTTTCAGTGTTAGATATTTGTATGTAAAAAGGTTTTTGACAATATTGACATTTTTCGACCTATTGGATTCTTGCTCCTGCCTTCTTGTATTTTCTATATCTTGGTTGTGTTTTGGGCATTCTTGAGATTCAGCACAGTCATTCTTTTTTGTTTTTGCCCACTTCATAAGTTTGCTAGTTAATGCACCTTCACATAAGTGAGAAGTTCAATAGTGAGAACGTTTCCCACTTAGATGGTTATGTAAAATAAGTGCTTTGTTTTCTATCTCTGCCTCGGAAACATTTACATCATCGCCGTGAATTTGGTGCTGTTAAAATCTTGTCTGGCACATTATATGGTTGTATATAACACCATGATTTTTTATTCACAGTTGTTGAATGCTTACTTTTCGGCATTTGTGACAATTACCTTGAAATGATGTCTTCTTACCTGGAGCTAATTTGTTTGTTAGACGATGGAAACTAATTTGAAGAAATTCATTGTGCAAATAGCATCCTTGACTATTATCAGTGAGATATCTATCTTGCTTGCTCGAACATTTTTCACAGGGTTTTGCTTTATAATTTTGGCATTACTGGCACGTATTCGGGTGTTGGTTCAACAAGTAAGTTCCATTTTTATTAATAAATATTTAAGAAAAGCAGGAATCATTTGACATTTCAAGGTTAGGATTTTCAGAAACTTTCAAAGGATTGCATGACAATTGAGAGTACATTGTCATTTTTCTGAAATGGAAATTGTGGCAACATAATTACCATCGCTAACTTTGATTATTTTATGTTTATGATGAATTTGCATTCCCGTTAACCATCTGTTTCTTTATTGTTTTATACAGATATTACTCGATGTTGTTTCAATATTCAACATGGTTGCGTCTATCTCCAAAAAAAAGCATGTAGTTACAATAAACCAGGAAGGAATTCAGGTATATCTTCCATTCTTTTCCAAATTGCAAAGCCTGCTTCTGTATAACCAAGGGATTCTTAAGCTATTCCACTAGGGTTCTCATCTCATCTGCCTTTCTAATTATCTTCACAAAATAGAAGTTTTTAAATTCTTTTCCAATATATTTACAGGTCTTTAGAGAGTTTTACCCTACAAATGATGAATTTGTCCTCTTAGAGTGTGTTTGGAAAGACGACAAATTTATATTGCAAGAAAACAAACAAGAAGTTGCGACTAACAATCAGGAAGAACATATTGGGCCAAATGTTTCTTCGGCCGCATCAACTGTGCTGTATCAGAGTCTTGAATCTTTTCTTGGAGGTAAGGGTTTTAATGGTATTATACTCGTGACTCCCTTCACATATTTACCTTTCTTAATATATATATATGTGCGTGCGCGTTCTTCATCACCTTTTAATAAAGTATCCAATATTCCTCTTTGTCAATTGCATTTCAGCAGTAATACATTATGCTTCTTTGTAGAGCTAACTAACCGAACACAATTGCAATGTCTAGGAACCGCCATTTTTCTGTCTTCTATTCTTTGTATGCAGACTTGATTTTTGTTTTCATCTTATTATGAAAAGAAAAATAAACTGTAGTGTACTTGTATTTCTTCTTTTTGGGTGTAGATGAAGAACCTGCTACCAAGCAGGCAGAGGCAAATCAAAGTAATGACGAAGCTCTTGATCTAATGAAAATGAGTAAGAATGATTTGCTAGCAAGCCCTTCCAAAAGAGTTAACGATATTTCTGTCAAGGATATTACAGAAACAAAAGACAGTTCAATCAGTCCTGCAGCGACCTCGAGCCAGACATTCGTGCCTCGAGAAGGTAGTTCTCTTGTAAATTCAAGCCCCTCGTTGGTTGGTGCAAAAAAACTGCATTCGAAGAGGCCAGCATTTGTTTCAATTAAGCCTCCCAGCCCGATTACAACTAGTGCAGTGGGAATTCAATTCAATGAAACCAAAGCTGATAGTGTGGAGAAGGAGGATCCATTTTTCGCTTTGCTCACCGGTGGGAAACGCAAAAGCAGTCTATTTTAGCAGTAGAGAGAATTCTAGTAAGTAGTCTTATTTTTTTTATTAGAAAGTGCATAAATGCATTGTTTATGAAATATCATCCAATAGTATTTATTCATAAATTTTGAGAGCAGTGCTGTACAATCATGTATGATTATAGATAGATAGATAGGTAAAATCAAGTTTAATCCTTGGAGTTTAGGCTTAATTGATAATGTTCTTGTTTTCTGAACTTGTCTATGATGTTTATCAACATTCTGAGAGAAAATGAAAGCCAAAGATCATTACTAGTCATTCAAAATACTCCAAAAACAAGTGTACCATATTGTGATTAACATCAGAAGGCAGTGAAATACAAAGCTTAAACCTCTTTCTAAGCCTATCCCAAAACAGAGCCACTTACCAACCAAATCATAGCTTCTCAACAGAAAAATTAAGAATAAAATCCTTGATTTCTTGATTAGGTGCCCTATCAATGGCGGTTCGGCCATCTACATCTTTCACATCATACTTAGCCCCAGCTCTCAATAGCTCCTCAAGCTTTGGTTTGTCCCCTTCTGAGGCAGCCAGCATCAGCAAAATGTCCACTGGGTGAATGTCTTGGCTCAATAGAGCCTCCATTTTGTCATACGTACCCTCCACAGCCAGCATCCCCATGTAGTTGAAATACTGCACAACCAAAAATGTTTCTTCCTTTAAAACTTGTTTCTAGGAATGATGTTAAGCTCAGTTCAGAGGTATAAGACATACTACCATAAGCTAGTTGAGCTTAGCTTTAATGAATGATTGATTGGATTAAGAACATCAAAACTAGCCCCAAAATCATCAGAAATAGATTTTGGATTAAGAACATGGAAGCGCAGGAGGTGTAAAGAACAATTTGAACTTCCAAATCATCAGAAATAGCCCCAAAACAGGAATGAAACTGAAGAACAAGAAACAGAAATCCACAGAACAAGAAGAAAGAAGAACCTGCTCAACATCGTCTCTGATGAAGTCGTCTCGGGACTGGCTGCCATAAATGCCTGCACCTTCCGCATTTTGCCTAAGGTTGAACCAGCAGGTTGCTCTAGAGCCGTTGGAGGGTCCAATGGCGATGGGTGAGACCCATCGGAGGTTGGATTGAAGACCGAGAAACTGGGAACCCAATTTGAGTGGGGGGCGAGAATTGAGGGATGTTGGGGAGAGATTTATGGAGGTAGAAGTACAGGAGACGGAAGCCATGGCTGAGTTTTTGCAAGTTTTGTAAGAGGAAGATGAGGTTTTGCTCTGGCAGTGTGTTGCAGATTCTATCCATCCACTCGGAATCCAGTGGGCCAATAATGGGATTGTGGGTAACTGTTTGCATAAGAGATCTTGGACGTTGGATGGGTTTTGACAGAGATGAAATCTTGAATGAACTGATGATGAGATAGATGGGCTTTGATGGCCCATCCCTAACAACTAACAATTTATAAATGTGGGTTAGGGAATGGGTTTGGATTTGGAGGGAGTGAGTTCAAAACCCAAACTCTCCATTTTTTTTTTTGGTCATATAATTATGTTGGATTTGCTTTACAACTACTTCAATATTTATGAACCTTTCAAAATTTAAGAAACTATTTTTTCTTTAAGAAGTAATTTGTGAGACTAGAGCTCCACATGGACCCACCCATACGAAGCCAGAATTTCGGAGCAAATTCATTTTTTATCAATTATCCAATTTTCATATATTTGTAGACTGCTTACTAATTCATTACAATTTTTTCACGTATAAGAAAAAATAAATAAAATAATGTACATACTGAAAATTAATGTGTCACAAGACATGTTGAGCAGCTTGTTCCTCCTAATCTTCTATAGGCTTTGAAATATGCAAATATTGTCGCAAGTACAATTGGTAGCAATTGTTCCTCTACTTGGAAGTTAAGTTATATATCATATTCCCCCGTCTACACGATAACAAATTTTCATAAACATACACTAATGTCATACTTAATTGAATGTGCCCTCTTGACCAAAAAGTAAATTTGCAAGACCATACGCCCAAAGAAATAATATTTCGCATACGAACTCCATCTAAACATGTCAACATTTGCTTAACGACGTGCCTTTGGCTAAAAAGTTAGAAATTCGAATGATAGTCGTTTCATGGAGTACATAGACATGGAGAATTGAGTTACATAGACAACAGTTCAAAAAGAGCAAAAACCTTGCTATACACACAATCACAAGCCTACCTTTAGACACATAAATTTCAGAATGCCTTCCCACAGATGAGGAAATAGGAATCATCATTTCCCATTTGGCTGGACAATTATCACCAGCATCATGTCATCATCAAGGAGGGGTGAGTGGTCAATATTTCACATCAGCCAGCATAAATTTACACAACCTTCAGAAGGCATCTAGAGTCGAACGACTGATGGCTGTGGATGTCGGTTAGTTTAGTTAGAAATTCATTTTGGTATATATCTATTTAGCAGAATACCAGTTTTGTGCACACTTGGCATCCACAGCAAGGTCGACTTTAAGAATATTCTTTCCATTGAAGGGTTTCGACATGCAATCAACAACAATGGCCTTAGCAACCTCAGCTGACTCAGTTGGTCCTTCCAAGATCACTTCATCATGAACCTGACTTTCAGGAGAAGTGTTAATTCATGCAGGATCTCACAGATAAGTACAGAAAAAATAGGGTGCTGCAGGAAGGGATGCAAGTTATAACTGAAAAATAACCAAAAGAAACACAAGTCTTCAGATATTAAATCGCAGGTAAGGTAGTGATGACTGACCTGCAAAAGCAGCCTCCATCCAAGTTCCCTCAAACGTGAATTTTTAGATATTTCCAGCATGGCACACATGGCAACATCGGCAGCACTACCCTGTAATTCGTGAACCAAATTTAATACTGGAGATTGGGATGAGGAGAAGCCAAGAAAGGAAATTTATGCACAAACCTGCACAGGCGTGTTAATAGCAGCTCTTTCTATATGCCCTTTTTGGGCACGAGTAACTTGCTTCATTGAAGGAAACTGACGAGCTCGTCCAAGCAATGTGCGAACACATGATTTCTTCTCAGTCTCTTCCCTTCGTAGTTCTTGCCATCTACGAACCTCTGTTCTTTCATTATACCACAAGTCAACCGTCTTACTTGCTTCCTCCACAGTAACCTGAATGGTGAGGTAACCAGCCGCCAGTTAGCACCTTAACGATATTTAGACAGAAAGTTGGTTTTGGAAATACCTTCCAATCTTTGGAAAGGCCAATAGGAGTCTTGCCATATGCAATGGAAAAATTAAGCATTTTAGCTTTCCTTCTTTCAGAAGCAAAGGCATCCTGCAGAAAAGAAAGAAATGTTCACATAAAAGAAATCAAAAAACAAGAGATCGTTTAAATGGCACTTTGTTCTTGCTGGACGAACATGGTTGCACAAGAATAGACAAAAGAATAAGAAACTGCTACATATTAAAATGAAAATACATCGACAGGAATTACAATAAATAAAAAATGACTGATAAGTAAATAGAAAATAAATAACAAGGGTTTCAAAGGGATACAAAGCATCTGATTTACATAAAAAAGTAATAATAATAAATAAATAAATAATTAAAAAAAGTTAAAAAGACTTGGTTGACTATGTTGGAGGATGAAATATTACTACGATGAAGAATCTCCGTCAGGACCAACAGTTCAGGATTGCAAAATCACCTTTCTCTTAAGGAATCCAATCACCCACAAACCTACTCCGACCGTGTCTCCAATCGTGAATATATTGATCTTCTAAAGCTACATGTGAGACCTCCAATCATGAATGTTCCTCAACAGTCTACATCCGACAATCCGGGCATAGGTTATCAGTTGTAACCATGTTGGGCTAGGTACAATCAAACAAGCCTAGATGGTGGAAGATTGAGATCCTGATAGAAGAATTTGATTAAGTCAAAATAGTTAAGAGTATTTTTAGGATCTAGTTTAATGTTTACCAGATTTGTTTCCAAATTTGTGGTTAGTTTCTATGTTATTTGTAAGGCTATAAGAGCAAGTTCAGTATTCAATAAGATTATCACTTCGAATTTCAATTGTTTATGTTTCTGGCTTAGTTATGTCAAAACCTAACCATGGGTATCAGAGTCCAATTTTTGAGTGATCAAATAGAGAGAGTATGAGTGAAGACAAAGTTTTAACGAGGATCCCTCACTTCGATGGTCACTATGATCATTGGAGTGAGCTGATGGAAGATCTACTCAGAGCAAAAGGTCTATGGAGTGTGGTGGGGATTGGTTTCTCAGAACCAGAGAAAGGAACAACGTTGACTGAGGCACGAAAGGGTCACCTTGATGATGCTAGACTCAAAGATCACCAAGTAAAGCATTACCTCTTCCAAACAATTGATTGTACTGTCTTTGAACAAATCTTGGATCGTCGCACAGCCAAGATTGTTTGGGACTCAATAAAGCGAAAATTTGGTGGAAACCAAAAAGTGAAGAAATCTTTCTTAATGCATTAAGGAGAGAATTTGAGATCCTAGATATGAAGAATGATGAAAGTATCACAGATTATTTTGCAAGAGTGATGATAATCTCCAACAAGATGAGAAGCAATGGAGAAGATATGTCAGACAAGAAAATTGTAGAAAAAATTTTGCGTGAAAAATTTACTTATGTTGTAGTATCCATTGAGGAATCCAAAGATATTGATAACAAAATTTTGCGTGATAAGATATGTCCATTGATGAATTCCAAAGTTCATTAGTGGTGCATGAACAAAAATTTCGAAGATCCAACATTAATGGAGAGGAGCAAGTTCTAAAAGTCGAAGGGCGAACGAAAATAAGTAATGGAGGAAGAGGAACTTACAGGGGCAGAGGACGCGGAAGAGAAAGATCAACTTTCAACAAAGCAACGGTTGAAAGTTATAGGTGTCATGAGTTACATTTTCAATATGAACGTCCAAAGATGAAATGCTGTTAACGGCTCATATGGAAAGACATGAAGCAGAAAGGAGTGATGCTTGGTTCTTAGATTTTGGTTGCTCAAACCATATGTGTGCAAGTGAAAGTATGTTTTCAAGCTTAGACGACATTTTTTTCAAGCTTAGACAAGACATTTTCCCACATTATCAAACTTGGAAATAATACAAGTATGAAAGTTATGGGAAAGAGTACAGTGAAATTAACTTTGCATGGGGTTCGTTGCACTATTAGTAATGTGTATTGGGTACCTAAACTAAAAAATAATCTCTTGAGCATTGGACAACTACGAGAAAAAGGAGTAGTAGTGTTGTTTAAAGATGGTGTATGTAGCATTTATCATCCGAAAAGAGGAAAAATAGCAGAGTCAATTATGAGCACAAATCGGCAGTTTATTTTGCAAATCGGCAGTTTATTTTGGGTATTGAACCATCTACCACAACAAATGAAGAAAGATGCCTCCAAGTTTCAAATACGGATCAATCAACACTTTGGCACCATCGATATGATCATCTCGGCTACAAAGGTTTGTGCACCTTGAAACACAAAAACATGGTGAAAGGCCTGCCGCAAATTGGAGCTTCAAACACCACCTGTGAGGCATGTATGAAAGGCAAGCAACATCGGACTCCATTTCCAAAAATGGGTAAATGGAGAGCAACGGAAAAATTGGATTGGGGGGAAAACATTGAAATTGATAAGAACACAGCCGAAGGAGGAGGAATCACAGAGGAAACGACTGAACCGATTGCTGAAACAATTGAACCAGTTGCTGAAAATGAAGAAACGAAAATCACGGAAGAAACGACTGAATCGGTTGCTGAAACAATTGAACCAGTTGCTGAAAACAATTTTTCAATAATTGTTGCACCAGATTTGACAATAAGGGAGGGGAGAAATCGACATCCACCTATATGGTTAGCAGATTCCGGTGAAGGCTATGAGAAAAAGGGGAGTGAGGAGATGATGTACAAACTCCAAAAGGCTCTCTACGGATTAAAACAAGCACCTAGAACCTAGTTTAGTCAAATAGAATCCTACTTCATCAAGGAAGGATTCAAAAGCAGTTCTAGTGAGCAAACACTTTTCATCAAGAGGAAGGGAGGTAAAATTCTTATTGTAAGTATTTATGTTGATGATCTTTTATTTATTGGAGACGATGAAGAATTATTGGAGGAGTTTAAACGTTCCATGAAGAAAGAGTTTGATATGACTAATTTAGGTCAGATGAGATTTTTTTCTTGGAATAGAGGACAAAAAATTGGCAAAGATGAAAATGGTGCAAAAGTAGATGTAATTTTGTATAAACAAATAGTAGGAAGTCTAATGTATCTTACAGCTACTCATCTTTATCTCATGTTTGTAGTAAGTTTGACTAGTCGTTTTATGGCATGTCCAACACAACAACATTTTGCAGCAGCTAAAAGAGTTCTAAGGTACTTGAACGATACGGTAGATTATCGTATATTTTATAGAAAGGGAGGAGTTAGTGATTTAAATGAATTTACTGCTAGTGACTATGTCGGAGACATGGAAGATAGCAAGAGTATTTCAGGCTATGTGTTTATGATGAGTGGAGGAGCAGTAGCTTGGTCTTCTCGTACGCAGCCTACAGTCACCTTATCAACCACAGAAGCTGAGTTTGTTACTGCTAGTGCCTGTGCATGTCAAGCTGTTTGGATGAGGAGAATACTCAAAGAGATTAGTCACTCTCAAATAGAAGGAACAAAGCTAATGTGTGATAATACTTCAACTATTAAGCTATCCTAAAATCCAGTTCTACATGGATGTTCCAAACACATAAGAGTAAGATTTCACTTTCTTAGAGATCTTACAAAAGAAGGAACTATTAATTTTTTATTATTTTGTGGTACCCGAAATCAGCTTCCTGATTTGTTGACAAAGCCTCTAAAATTAGAAGCATTTCGCTTTTTAGGGATCTAGTTTAAATATTTTTCAAATTTGTTTCCAAATTTGTGGTGAGTTTATATTTATGGTTATTTGTAAGGCTATAAAAGCCAAGTTCAATATTCAATAAGATTACTTCGAACTTCAATTGTTTATGTTTAGTAATGTCAAAACCTAACAATTAACAATCCAACAGAGTAAGGTTAGCCTACGAGGAGAAACCAAGGCCCCATAATGGCCCATAGTGGCACTAACAAGGCAAACAGTACCTATCACAAAACGGCCAAACTAGATCATTAATGTCACTTAGACGTGACTGTTACACTTCTTGAAAAGGCGATGAAACTGAAGGGAACCACCCACTAAAAGACTCTTGAATGCTGAGTACCAGGCAAAGACTCGAAGCGGCTTTGTTTTAGGTGTGATGAGAAGTAGACCTAAGAGAACCTTTGTAAGAATTGAGAAATTTGGGAATTAAGGATTTTGGTAGCTAGTGCCGAATAAAAAAATATTGATTGATATAGAGGACATGAAAGAGAACCCCCCAAGTGAAGAATTTGGAAGTAGAAGATTCGATGGAATTAGCTATGCTCCGTCATGCTGTTCGTCACCAAGAAAAATGAAGGTGAAAGGATAAGTGAATCAAAGAAGTGTAGTGATTCTTATAGATTGCAAAGCTACGCATAATATCATCTTTCAGTTGCTAGTGGAAGAGCTGAAGTTACTCCTCACTGAGACAGCGAACTATGGTGTAGTGATATGGGAAACAGAGTTTCCATTTGTGGTATAGGAGTCTGTAACTCAGTTGTGGTTTGCCTACCTGAGATCACTGTAAGGGAAGATTTCTTACCCCTAGACCTAGGAGGGGTAGATGTAATTTTGGAAATGCAATGATCATGGAAGATGGGGTTTGTGGGTGTGGATTGGATGTCGCTAACCAAGACCTTCTACCTCGGTAGAACAAGGTGACATGTCAGGGGATCTTTCCCTCACTAAGGCCAAGGTCTAGTAAAAATGCTTGCCCGAACTGGACAGACTAGAACATGGGCTTCTTAGTTGAATTAGATCTTGAACACCAATGAGGAAGAGGCTAGCAAAGACGATGCCAACTTGGATGTTCGCAGAGAAATGCATTTGCCTTGGTGGAATACAACCGTATCTTTGAGTTACCAAAAGGCATTCCACCAGAGCGGCCAGCTGATTATGCTGTTGGCCAGATCAACGTCAAATTTTCTAAGTATGATAAAAATTTTATTTTGAAAGGCTGATCAGTGAGATGCTCGCTTCTATGGTCATTCGACCTCGCACCAATCTATTCTCTAGCCCCATGCTTCTAGTGAAAGTGGTGTTGCGAGGTTTTGTGTAGATTACAAGGCACTAAATCAGGCAACTATTCCGGATAAGTTTTGCTTTTCATACAGTGTTCATACTTTCAAGACATTTAGGTCCATGTGAAAAGCTTTGCTTTTTTTTGGGTGTCATGATACAAAGGTTCTCTCTACTTATAATGGTGGATTCCAAAAACCAACTAGAACAAACTCACTCAAACAATTACCTACGAAATACCATACCATAACTACTACAAAACAAACAGACTAACGACTATTACAATTAACAAACTATCGCTAAAATAATAGCATCATCAAAAGAAATTACTAATTGAATCTGACTCGCAGCATCAGAGCATGTCAGTGGACAATTCATGTGTCCTTGGAGAAATATAGATATGATATTTCAAAATTCAGTGTTAAAGATAAAGCATTTCCATTTCATATCATTTCTAAGATAATAAGAGAAACGGATACCAGTTTGTTATACTTCGGAAAACTAACACCAATAAAACGAATCACATTTGCACACATTTTCTCGTAACAAAAACATCAGTTTACCTTCAACAATGGAACTGGAGGTTTATCTTCCCCAGGTTGAGGATCCCACTCAAGAAGCACGCTTCCTTCTTCCACAGCTTTACGAATATGAGGGTACATATTCATTGCAGTTCTTGAATGGAAATCTCCCCCAGCTTTAAAGGCGTCCAGCATGCTCTGACAATTGGCAAGATGAGCAAGAATCCTAAGTTCCAGCTGCAAAAGGAATCTACATTTTAATCATTAATGTTCTCTTTTCTTTATGCGATTATATAGTTGAAGCCAATAGGTAACAAAAAGATAGCAGCGGAAGATGGGGTAAATCTAATTACACACCGCATAAACAAATCATCTCCCATTCATTAACAAAATTACCTGGCCATAATCAGCAACAATGAGGGAATTTCCAGGAGAAGCTATAAAGGCCTGACGGATCTTATATCGGTCCTTTTCCAGAGCCGGTTGATTCTAGTACAGAAAAAATATAACCAACGTAAGTCTCCATTAGAATCATAGTTCACAAGGAATATATGAACATAAAGATCACTTGAAACTGAGATGACAAACACACTCACACAGAAGGCTAAATGTAAAATAATTTGTGCAAAAAAATAGCTAGCAATAATCATAATATTTTACATAATGCCTGTTATAGGATTTAGTACTCTGCGATCATGATAAGCTCTAAGCTTCTAGTCGCTATGAGGTGACACTATCTAATAGAAGAAGCAAACGTACTTTCCCATGGAAATCATCACAGATCTCTTCAGTGCCAAATGCAAATATAGTTGAGACTAGTTAACTATGAACCTGCAAACTTGGTCTCCGAGCGGAGAGGCGGCCAGTTTCTGTGTTGATGTTTAGAGAACAATGGACACGCCCATTCTTACCAGATATATTGCTTCCCTGCAATAGAAACAGCCAGTTTCACTGCAAGTCAAAAATTGTGCCTAGAATTTGAAGTCCAACATATGAAAACCATAATGTTGATCAGAGTAAGAGAGGGACTCCATGTTTTGAAACTTCAAAGCTGCATGTTCATCAATCAAAATCAACATGTCTTCAGATAACTGTGCATAAATCAAGTGAAGCAGTATACAATACTCTGAACTAGTTCCTTCTAGAACCTACAGGCACATATAAAAGTGTCATAAACTCATAATTGGCAAACAAAGTTACTTACACCTACCTTCTAAAGTTCTTCCCCTACCACCAGTAACAGGGTCAAAATTAGCAAAAGTTGCATTAATTATCGTGACTCTTTTGAAAGGATATTATAAATGGGCATAAATGGGGACTTCGCAGAAGAATTTCACCTGTAAGGGAAGGATGAAATTTGATATCAACGAGTCAATAGAGCAGATTTCGCATAAAGCAGCAATAGCATGACAGGCTTCCATGCCCTCCTCCTTCAATTTAAATGCTTTTAAAGCAGTTCCATAATCAGACATATTTGCACATTCATGAACTATACGCCTTCTGTTTTCTTCATGAGGCATTGTCTCAAAATCGTTGACAACCTCAGTGTCAGACTGAGGGTCGTCGGTGAAGTCATCAAATTCTGCAGAGACCTTGCCTGCTAAGATCTTCAGAGCATCCCCACTCACTGAAGGCCAACCAGTTGCTGTGTACAATTCTGTTGAGAGAGCCTCATCACTGAAGCGACGTAAAGTAATATTCCGAAACTTGCTGGGAGTTTTCTTCCCTTCTTCAGTGACTTTTTCACTGTTCGGAATTTTGAATGTCCTTTCAGTTGGAAGAGACTCTTCAGGGTTCTTACTGTAAAATGAAAAAAATAAGGAAGCATGACTTTTCAAACGAATCAACAAGTTTGAAGATAAAGGATTAGAAACATGTCCATTATCACAAGGGGAAAAAGCATGAAATTGTGTAATAAAGAGCTTAACAACTTGCACAAGTACATGTCCACAAATAGTAAATAACTCATAATTGTAATTTTTAAAAAGCCAAAAATATTATTTAGAACATAGACTAATTACCTGTTACAAGTGCCACCAAAGAGCAATTGGCGCACTTGTGCATCACTTCCAACATTCATGTACTTGGCATCAGGGCAGTACTCTGAAGCCCAGTTACGAAATCTGTTAGCAGCAACCTCGTGTTCTGCTTTGGCCAATTTTTCTATCTCAGCAAGATATGGCCTATCAACTAGCATTCCCTCAGTTTCCATTCTGACAAGAACTTCACCAAATGGTTTCCAATAATCTTCATAAAAGTTGAACATTGTTTTATCCGGAATCCTTTCTCCATCCCTCTCCCAAGGCATGTCAGACAGTTTTTTCTTCAAGCTCTCATAAAGCTTCAGCGTGCATATTGAATCTAATGCAGAATAAGATACCCATGGTTTCCGTTCTTCTCGTTGAAGTTCTTCAACAGGGGGAATGACTATAAGTTTGCCTTCAGATCCATCCTTTTTCATCTTCTTCCGGCCAAAGATAGTTTTCATGGACACTTTACCTATCAACTCTTTTTCCTGGTCCAATTTAGCCCCAGACATGACCTTTGTATCACAAGAAAGAGCTTCAAGTGAATATCCACCATTCATTCTCCTTGATGAATCCCATAACCGTGCCATGTGCATCGTGTCAGCATGGAAGCCAGAAATCTTAATCCCATAGTTTTCAATAATGTGATTGTCAAAGCTGTAGTTGTGCCAGACCTAACAGGAAGGCAGGTTTGGTCAAAACCAAACTATCTTCTGAGTTACAGCATACCACACACATGCACATGTTGCATTCTCATAATTTAACTAATACAACTGAATAAATGGTCAGAATAATTAGCCAGTCTTATAAAAAAAATACAATTGTGATGCAGTAAATATATGAATGAGAATACCGAGCTATAGCGGTTTTACAATTTATCAACAATATGTTCAGAAGCCAACATCTAGAAGACAAAGCTTTGGCTACCTCGATTGTGTCCCAACTAATTATCTGACGGTGGATAATGTATCTAGGGTGAGTTTGCATACCTTTATTAAAAACATCTTTTCTTAAAACACTTCTAATAGAAGTGGTTTTAATTAAAACATTAAGTTGTTTGGTTACATTTTCTTAAAAATGATTTTAAATTACAAGTTTGTTTGGTTGTGCTGCATCTAAAATTGATTCTACAAATATTAATCTACAACAACCAATCACTTTAAAATCAAGTTTTGGAAAACCAACTTGAAAGTTATTTTAAAAAGTAATTTATATTTGCAACCAAATATTGCATACTCTAGAAAGAAAGAAAAAAAAAAAAAAACAATGTTGAGTAATCCAAAATGACTTAGGAATTTATGCCAAAAGACGCCCTTATTCTCTGCAAACTTGTCCCAGAAAAGGAAACCTCCTTTATCAAAAAATTTGGCCTACATTAGTCTCCTAAAAAAGGGTCCAAGAGGAACAAAAAGAAATACCTTTCTGATCAAAGGATCTTCGAAGAATGGTGCAAATTGAAGCAAAATTTCCTTACCGCCACCATCAAGAACATCCACCCAGATGCAAGACTTTCCATTTCCAAAATCTGCTTTCGGTCCTGAATAAATACTGAAGCATATTATTTCACCATGGTCAACGGGTGTTTCTTGCTTCACATCAATCTTGGCCACCTTAAAGAAAATAGAAAAACAGAACAAGGATTGAAGAAATTTCACAAGTATGTGCCCATCATCATATGACAGAACTTGGGAGTAAATTATACAGTTATGTTGGATCTATAGGTCTGTTGGCCTGTTTCAAGGCAGTAAAGGTACATAACGCAGAGAATGAAAATAAAGTAAGATTTAATCACCTCAGTATCGCAAGCATGCACCAGATTCTTGTACTTGGTAGTAAGCATTGAAACAACTTCCTTTGCTGCAGATACACCATCAACAACAAGAACGCTTTCATATACACTATTAAGCCTCTCCTTTATTGAAACAACTTCCTTTGCTGCAGATACACCATCAACAACAAGAACGCTTTCATATACACCATTAAGCCTCTCCTTTATATCTGGCTTATGAGCAGTTGCAAGTACTTCCATCATCTTGGTGCCACTTCCATTGACGATCACTTTAGAAAATTCTTCCCCAGCTACACCCTTATTTATTCCATTAGCAGCTTCAGTACATTTCGAAGTTTTTAGTACACTATTCACCTTTCCCAAAGAGATATTTCTATTTCTGCCTTTAGGTGAAACATTTGGTACGTGACGCATAATTGACCCCTTTCCATTTTGAGAAACAGAATACTTTTTGTTACTTTGCATAGGAACAACCTGACTATGCAAAACATTATTTGCAGGCTTGCTCATGGGCCGTTCCCCAGAATACGAATTAGTGTCTCCATTGCATTCACCACGTGAAAACTTGACAGTCTCAAGTAAAGGTACCCTGTCACTTATCATCCTATCTATAGTTGCAACATTTTCAGTTCGTTCAAAATTTATAGGTTCTTGTTTCCCGAATTCATCCGATAACACATTAGTTGGAGGGTTTATACAATTAGGATCATTAGAAGCATTGGAACAGTTGCTTCCCAAATTTGTCTGAACCTTAGAATATGGAGGGCAAAGACTGTTGTAACAATGCAAAGTCCCATAGCCAATGAGATTTTCTTTTTTTCTTAGCTTTTCTTCGTCATTCTTTGTCAGGATCTCGGTTTCTGAAAACCTAAAGAGCTTCTCTTGTTTCAGTTGCCTAGTACTCTTAGACCAATCATTTATGTCAGACAGAAACGCCCTCTCCTTGTCATGTTGTCTAGTTTCAAAAAATGAATTGGTGCACAAGAAAGAACTTTGTCGACACTGCAAGGAAGCATGAAACATATTCACATTTGGAGAAGCGCTGCGAACACTCTTCAGAGAACTAAATTCAGCCCTGCAAATGAATATTTTCAGAAATATTAAGATCGGAGTTCTTCAAAACCATACTCTCCCAATAATTGATCGATAAACTGTGCAATGTAAGACACATAAACAATTAAAACAACAAAATGGATGACCCAAGAAAGGTGTCAGTATCACTTCTGCTAAATTTGAGTTCGATTACCTAAGACTCAATCACGCTCATATGGAAAGGTAAATGTCCTCCCCATAGATGAAACCAAATAATATGACACAATTTTATGGACTAGATAACGATATAGGAGAAAAGAGCTAAAGTGCCTAGAAAGATAACCGATATACTTCTTCATGACTGAATTTAAAAGCCTCAAAAATCATACTAAAGAACCATTGCCATAAAGCTTCAAATCATATTCAAAGAACGACATTCTACCAACAAGAAACAGAGTGAACGGAATAGGAGGTTAACAACGAGTTCATGTTTTCAGATATCATCATGATGATAACTAAAAATTCCTAGAAATCACACCCACCAAACATGTCCTTCCCCATATCACAAGTTCCCTATCACATGCAGGGGGAGGAAACTCACTTCGCAGTTTCAGTCAAGAAAACTTGTAACAAATGTCTGGAACGAACAACAAGCACATAAACACACACACAAAAATGCAGCTAATTCCCCATACAGAGGACAAAATGTTCTCCACGCCCCGATTAACAACAAAAAGATAACACAAAAGCCTCCCGTAAAGAACAAACCCAAGAGAAAAGTGACCTGTAGAGCCTCTTGGAGGAGGCGCAAATGGAAATAGAAGAATTAGAAACAGAGTTAGACCGCCATAGAAAGAAATAGGAGGGCCATTGAGTAATCAACGAAGAGGCTTGGGAAGTGGAGGCCCCCAAAGTGATCATCGCTGCAACTCTGCCCAGCTTGCCCCCGGAGTGGCTTATAGAAGGAGCCGTTTTGAGAAGTTTTGGGCTAAAACCAAAGTTCAGAGGGGTTTATAGTGACTGTTGCTTCAGGGCTGTGGGTCTGAGCACGGCCATGGCGGAGGGGCGGAGGGGCGAAGGTTAAACCCTGGGGGAGTGGGAGTGACGACTGATGAGAGAACCCCAAAACCAACGTACAATTTTCTGATTTAATTTTGGCGGCCCCAACAGAAATTATAATTAAAATTATTTATTTTAAAATGAATTTTAAATTTGGTGAGACTAATTTTCTCTAAATTAATAAAAAAAATACCTTTAAATTTAATTTAATTCAATAATATTCTTAAACTTTAAAAAAATGTCTCAAAAATATCCTTAAATTTTTAATATTACTGTCAACATATGAACGAAACCTGTCTATCAACACCGGATAGATTATCTACTTTTAAAAGTTTGTGTATTTTTTTAAATGTAGTACTAACTATATGCATACTTTTTTAGTTTTTTTAAAAAAGTTTAAAGACGTTTTGAAGTTTTTAAAAAAGTCGAGGGTACTCGGAATGTATGTTAAGACTTATAAGTTTGGGATAGGGTTTAAGAATGTATGTTAAAGACTTATTCCCCTTGGAGCAAGAACTTAAGAACCCCGTGAAACTACGAAAACACTCTAAAGATAAGTACAACGCAAGCCCTAAGTCCATTAAGACAAGAAGATTGCTAGGTACTACTCAAGAACGAAGGAACAAGGTCCTAAGACTTAGAACTTAAGAACCCCTACAACTCTTATGCGACAATAAAATCATGACTAAGGTTACATCGCTTGGATCAAAAGAAGCCTTTGATATAGGTTCTCATACTATATCGTTTGGAACGCAAGAAGCCATGGATGTAGGTTTCAGACTATGCTACTTAGAATGTATGAAGTCATGGGCATAGATTTTCAGACTGCGCCGTTTGGAACGTGAGAAGTCTTGGACGTAGGTTTTAGGCTACACCAATTGGAACATAAGAAGCCTTGAGTGTAGGTTTCAGACTATATGCGGGGAATGCATGAAGCCCTAGATCTAGATTCAGACTATATCGCTTGAAACACATAAAGCCTTAGACGCAAGTTTCCAGATTGTGTTGCTTAGAATGCATGTAGTCTTGGATACAGGTTGTAGAGTTCATGTCTTGTACCGGAAATCCTAGGGAGAGTATCTTAGGGAACATAACAAGGAAAATAACAAGAACTAAGGACAAGGGCAAAAATCAAGAACAAGAACCAAGTTCCAAAGATAAGAAACTAGAACAAATATCAAACTTCAAGTTTTCAGAACTAAAAAACCGAGAACCTTAGAATCACACCCTTTAGATCATAACCTAAGAACTCAAAATCTAGGACCAAGGTCCTTAAGCCATAACCAGGACAAGAATTCAGAACTCAAGAACAGAACCTAAGGACTTGTATTCTCAGGATAAGAAAAAGAACATGACAAGAAAGAGTGTAGTACCCTAACATCAAGCATGTACGCGATTTACTGAGTCTTTGTACATATTCCTATTCTCTCATGTTTTAAAGGTGACAAAAAGGGGTTGGTCGAGGATCGAAGTGGATCTGAACTAGATGTCATATAGAGTCACATCATGTTTCAACTGTTTTAATGCTTTGAGGTATTTTGTTTACTCGTCCAATGTATTCAAACTTTATTTTGGATTTGTAAATAAAATGAATTTATGTTTTTTTTTAACGCAAAAAATTTTATTTCTTTTTTTTTTTTTTCATTTTCAAGTTTTTACATAGTCGCGATCGTAAAAATCGGGTCGTGACAAAAGGTGTAGCGATCCAATCAGGTCGTGACAAAAGGTGTAGCGATCATATGTGTGTAAACAAGAAGTTGTTCTCAAATGTGTATCTATTTTGATACATAGTGGAGTATGTAGATTCTACCATTCGAAGAAGGGCCTTATTTATTCCCTTTAGTGGTATCAAAGCATTGCGTTTATTTTAACTTAGTCATGTCAATGAAATCCTTAAGTGTCGAACAAAAAAATTGTCAGCGTCGAAGTTGTAGTCATAATTACTTAGGTGGTGAAAAAATGGGTGTGCTTTGTTCGAGGGCTACATAGAAGGAGGCCTTTGGGGAGGCTCTATGGTGTACTTTGTTTGAGGAGAGGATTGTTGAGGATTTTTGAAGTCTCACATTGGCTAATGAAGGGGAATATCATACATATATAAGTGAGGGATACTATCTCCATTGGTACAAGTTCTTTTAGCAAAACCAAAGAGTAAAGCCTAAGTGAGGGATACTATCTCCATTGGTACAAGTTCTTTTAGCAAAACCAAAGAGTAAAGCACGAGAGTTTATAGCAAGTTTGTAGCAACTACCTCTTGTGATTTTGTAGCAACTACCTCTTGTGATTGTGTGGATGAGGAGAGTATTGAAAAAACTTGATCATTTTCAAGAACAGTGTATCACTGGTTATGTATAACAGTTCTACCATTAAGCTATCCAATCATATGCATAAACGCAACAAACATATTGATATAAGGTTTCATTTCTTGCGTGATTTGACTAAAGATGGAGTTATTGAGTTGAAGCATTGAGTCGCACAATAACAAGTTGTAGATAGAATGACAAAACTACTTAAGCTAGATACGTTCTTGAAGTTGCATGAGTCAATGGGTATGTGTCTAATACCACTAGTAAATGTTTCCCAAATCCATCTCCATTCTCCATTCGAACAAAGATTTTCTAGATCGATCACGGTAGGTTAAATAGACATTTCTAGTCTCGTTCCCACAAAATTTAATTAAAAAGTTGAGAATGGTTCTATATAGATAGTATTTTGAAGTAATTTGATATGTGCGGTTATAACATCAAACTTGGTTTGAGGTGAACCACAATGGCAATGGTGCTCGATTTCAACGGAGGCACGACAACAATCCTAAATGTATCCAAGGAACGGGAGCTACTTCAACCTGTGAGTGGGAATAAGAACGAAGTTGATCTACTAGCCTAATTGAGTTGATTCAATCCACTGAACACAAATTTAAAAGTTACAAAATACATTAGAGTTCAGAGATTAATTACACTGCCAACCAGACACAGACGAACGTTATGCTTTTCAAACTCCATTACGTACCACAGTTAGAAAATAGACGTAAAATCCAACATGGGCATAATGGTAAATATGCTGTAGCTACCTTGAAACAACCCTCGACCCTGGGAGGGGAGAAAAAAAACATCAAAAAGGAGGGATGAAAGTTGTGTAATCCGTTTGGCACATTGGTCCAGTATCCTTAAAATGGCTTTGTCATATTGGAAAATATTACAAAGAAGGAAGGAAATGAGGGGCCAAGAGCCAAGCTGCCCCAGTTACAATTGCCAGACCTCCACAACATCTTCTCTTTTTTTTCCTCTTAAAATGTTTACTCCATTTTGAATCACCTCCCATCACCATCACCATCACCATCACCCTCCACAATTTTATCTCCATCGTTCCTACTTCTATCCGGAGAACCTTCTCCTGAACCTGAATCTGGTCCCAAATTCGAATCGTCATCTATGTCTTCATCGATGTCCTTGTCTGCGGCTAAGTATTCAATTGCTGTAACCACGTCGCTGATCAATGGTCGAGTACCCGCTTCCTCTTGTAAACACATGGCTGCTACTGCTAGAGCTTGATACAGAGCCTTCACTGAGTAATTTCCTTCTAGCTTTGGATCTGCCATTAGGGTAAATTTCCTTCTGTCTTTGAATAGTGGTTGTGCCTGCAATCAAACGAGAATTAACAAGTTTTTAGCCTCAACATATCTTTCAACGTTCGAGCTTAGAACGTTCGTCATACACAAAAATATCGATATCGATCAACAGGCTAGGAAGTTTTTTCGTAGTTTGGAACAAGATATCGACATGTAAATCACATCACAAGATAAATTAAATGTTCTTCACTAATACCAAGATCAAATAATGAAGTAATGTCAAGAAAAATTGAAAACATTGACTTAATGATCTGTGTGTGCAGGTGAGAGAAGATAACAAACCAGAAAAAGCATACCCAAGTAATTAAATTTTGTTCTGCTGTTGGTCTAGCATTGTCTATAACCCGTCTTCCAGTTATAATCTCCAGAAACACGACACCAAAGCTGTAGACATCTGATTTCGTTGTCAATTGTCCCGTAAGCGCATATTCAGGAGCACAGTAACCATAGGTTCCCATCACCCTAGTGGAAACATGAGATTTATCCCCAGTAGGACCTAACTTTGCAAGACCAAAATCAGAGAGCTTTGGATTGAATTCCTCATCCAACAATATGTTTGAAGCTTTGAAATCACGGTATATCACGGGCGGACTGGCAGTTTCATGCAAGTATTCAAGTCCTTTTGCCGCTCCTTCGGCAATTTTCATCCTCGTCTTCCAGTCCAGACACTGCTTATCTGGCGGTATATCTGAAAATAGGAGGCTCCAACTTCAGAATCCAATATAAAATTTTTTGGTGATGCAAGCTTAAGATCGAGCACCTTCGTTTTTTCGATGTATGAATAAAAAATCCCAAGGTTTCGTTGGATTTCGGTTACTAAAAATGAAACATTTACATTGAAACATACTATGTTTGTAATGTAACATGAAATATATCTAGATCTAGATGACTTCATTTAATGCAATCTTTTTGTAGGACTGTCCACGAATTCAAACATATAATTCAGGGATATTATGAGCTCGTAATCGATTTAGAAACGAATCATTAGGTCATACCAAGAAGATGATCCTCCAAGGAACCGTTAGCCATGCACTCGTAAACCAAAATCCTCTGATCTCCATCAGCACAATACCCAACCAAATTCACAAGGTTAGGATGGTGAAGAAGGCTCAACATCAAAACCTCTACAAGGAATTCTCTGTTTCCTTGATATCCATTTCGGTCGAGCTGCTTCACGGCCGTTACCTAAGGAAGACGAAACCAAACACAAATAAATAGAGAACTCGATAATGAATCCATTTCGCATAAACGAAAGTAAAAGTTGTGTCACGATACTTGGTTTGTGCCTTCGAGGATGCCCTTGTAAACCCTTCCAAAACCACCTTCCCCCAATAGATTGTCTTGGCTGAAGTTATTCGTAGCAGTAGATAGCTCACCAAATGAAAAAATTTGAGCAGAGATGTTTCCTCTTCCTAACTTCTTTATCTCCTCAGTTATGTACCTTCGCCGACTATTATCTGTGAGTTCA